CCCCTTTGTTAACCCAAACCCCCCCCCCCCCGGTTGGAATCAAGATACCCCTTGTTAGATCCAAGATCCACCTCGATGGACTCAAGACATCCCTTGTTAAAGCCAAGACCTCCCTTGTTGGATGGAAGACATCCATCATTAGACTCAAGACATACCTTGTTATACCCAAGACACCCCCTCAGAGACCCCAGCTCTTCCCTTTCCCTCATTTCTTGGCCATGGAAAATATCCTAGAGAATTTTTTGCATTACTAAACCACCACCAGCCAAAGTCTCCATCCAACCTGCTCTTGAAGATCTCCAAGGATGGAGACTCCACCACCCCTCTGGGCAGCCTGTTCCAAGGCTTGAACCCCTCTCCCCCCAGAGTCAGAAAATGTCTCCTCATCTCCAGCCTTAGTTTCCCCTGCTGCAGCTTGAGGCCACTGCTCTTAATTTCATCCTCAGTGGCCACAGAGAGTTGTCCATCTCCTGTGTCCAAATCCTCCCTTGGTCTTCTCTTCTCCACATGCAGTCACCCTAGTTCTTTCAGCCTTTCCTCAGCAGTCCTGTTTCCCAGGTCTCCACTCCTTTTTGTTGCCCTGCACTGGACTCTTTCCAACCTGCCCATCTCCTTCTTGAAGTGCAGGGCTCCAAACTGGACCCAGTGCCCCAGGTGAGGCCTCCTCAGTTCCAAAGCCATGGGTTCAAATCCATCCCAGAACTCCAAAGCAGAGGTCATGCCCTCTGCTAGAGAAGAAAGTAACTCTCACCATTCCATACCAGTCTGACCAGTGGTCCAATTCCTTCCTGCTCCCCAGTCAAGCATCAAGCTGAGCCTGAGCAGAAGGGCAAGACCCTCTAGCCAGGGATCCCCTGGGTTGAGTCCCAGCAGAAGCACTGGCAGACTCCAGGCACCACCCATAGACTGGGCTGCAACCAAAACCCATCTATGACTAGGGAAACCAACTAGACAGAGGGGTTTATGGGGCTAGCTGGACAGATAGAAGGGATAGATGAATGGGTGGACAACTAGATGGATAAGTAGATGTATAGAGATGGATGGATGGACAGAGAGATAGATAAGTGGGCATTTGGAGATAGATAGATAGATAGATAGATAGATAAGTGGGTGTTTGGAGATGTATGGATGGATGGGCATACAGACAGAAGGGAGGAAGGAGGGAAAGTGGAGGTGAAAAGAAGGAAGGATATAGATAGAAAGATAGAGGGGGTCTATGGGGCTAGATAGATAGCTAGAGCGGATGGATGGAGAAGTTATATGTGATGGATGGGTGTGTGGATATATAGATGTGGATGGATAGAGTGAATGGATGGATGGATGGCTAGAGGGAGGGAGAGAGGGAGGGAGGGGTGCATCTGTGTCACCACCTCATCCTCAGGTTACCTGGACCACTGATGTGGGCCCCCATGGGGCTGGAGCAAGTGCCTGGGGGGTGCCACAGGAGAGATAACTAGGTCTCCACCCCAGCCCTTCCCATCCAGCCCCACTTCACTTGCCCCCAGGGGGTATCACCGCACCTTGTGTAGGCCTGCAGGACAGGCGAGGGGCTCCACAGCTGATATCCTGGAGCACAAGGGCTTCTCTGTGACCTTCCTCTACCACGACAATCTCAGCCAACTGAATCCAGGGAGGGACTGCAACCTAATCCAACCAGTCTCTGCAAACGTTTCACACTATCCACGGTTCTCCTGGAGGAATGTGGTTCAGGTGCCTAAGCCAGACCCTTCTCAGCTGGGCTTGGGTGAAGAAGTCATCACCTCAAAATAGTCCCTCACCGTGCTGACGGACACATGGACAGGACCAGTTCTCCCCTTCTCCCCCCTGTCTGATATCTCTTGTCTTTCCTTTGAGCTCGTCTGGTTTTATAACATCTCTGTAACTTCTACCCACCTTCCCCTGGGGCATCTAGATAGTTGAGTCAGCCAGATTGACGCCTCTTTCTCCATCGTTAATCTCTCCGTAATGAAGAGGTAGCTTTTCCTGGTGCCCTTTAATTAATATTTATGAGGGTTTTCGCTGCATTTTGGCAAAAGGCCTACATTGGGTAAGAGATGCAAGCAGATGTTTACAACTGGAATATTCCATGGCTCACGTCTTCTTCAGCCAGCCCCAATGATACTGCTGCTCTTCATACATCTCCAGCTGCTGGAGTCTCAGGGTGAACATCCGCATTCATTCATTCGTATCCAATATGTTCCCCACCCAGCAAATCATTCCTTGTATGTCTGGTTGGCTAATAGGCTTTGCAAGAGCTTACCATAGTTTCCTGCATATAACACGCCCCTCCAAATAAGACCTATGCCTTGTGCTTGGAAGGAAGAAGGGAGGGGAAAAAGGACCACAACATCTTGACTGTAAATCATTCCTTCTAGAAGAGCTGTGAATAATATTGTCATTTCCACATCACAACCCTCATCAAGAGACAACTGACAGTGGCTCAGCCAGCAACCACTAGTTTCTTAGTGGCTGTGAGTGGTATAAACACTGGACTCCATCTATGGTTGGTTCGATGGGCATTGTGTGGTTAGTTGTGCATACGGTAGGTTGGTTAAATGAGTGGTTGCTTCCTGGGGCCAGAGAGAAGTGGGCGCATCTTGGCAGGAACCAGAGCATAGTGTCTCCATGCTTCTATTCCAGCGAAGAAAATATAATCAGCTTAAGATGCTTAAGGTAGTGCCACGCTACTCAGCACTGGTTAGGCCTCATCTGGAGTATTGTGTCCAGTTCTGGGCTTCATTTATTTAAAAGGACGTGGAGACGTTAGAGAGAGTTCAGAGGTGGGTAACAAAGATGATCAAGGGCTTGGAAAGCAAGTGCTACAAGGAGAGGCTGAAGGAGCTGGGCATGTTGAGCTTGCAGGAAAGGCACTGAAGAGGGGACATGAGAGCAGTCTTTAAATACTTGAAGGGCTGCCGTAAAGACCTTACCTCTCATTCTGCTGAAAGGAGGACATGGCCCAGTGGCTTGAAGTTGCAGCAAAGTAAATTAAGATTGGATATCTAGAAAAATGTCCTCCCTGTTAGAGCAGGGAGGCAGAGGAATAGACACCCAAGGGAGTTGTGGGCTTTCCATCTCCGGCTACAGAGGAAGGCATTCCTCAACACATGGCCTCTATCTGGGATCTCTCGAGCATATATTGACAACCTTTTATAAGAGAAGGCCATTGGCTGCCACAGTCCTCCTGCTATCCCTGTGGCAGGTTCGGGTGTGATGGTAGTGTTGTGCCAGGGTTGACTGTTGTCTTCTGTGGAGTTAAAATGATGGAGAGTCTAGAATGCTTGCAGTTGGGATGATCCTGCCTCAGGAATAGATGATCTATGGAGATCCCATTGAGCCCTGCTTCTCTATGAATATGGCCATGATTCTATGACCCCTAGAAGGCCCTTTGGGTCTGACTTCTCTATGATTTTATAATTATGGACTGGGATTGGATGGTTCAGATAGGGATGACTCTGCCTCAGGTAGGGCATTGGACTATATGTGACCTCTGGAGGGCCCTTCCACCCCTACGTCTTGATGACTCTATGACCATGACTCTATGGCCTCTGGAGGTCTCTTTGAGTCTGATTTATCTATGATTCTATGATTATGGATTTGGATTGGATGGTTTGGACAAGCATGACCCCACCTCAGGCAGTGGGTTGGACTACATGTGATCTCTTGAGGTCCCTTCCAGCCCTGCTTCTCTGTGAGTCTTTGACCATGACTCTATGGCCTCTGGAGGTTCCTTTAAGTCTGACATCTCATAGATTTCATAGATTTCATAGACATTAGGGCTGGAAGGGACCTCGGAAGATCATCAAGTCCAGCCCCCCCGCCCGAAGGGCAGGAAGTCAGCTGGGATCATAGGATCCCAGCAAGGTAAGCATCCAATTTTCTCTTGAAGGTGTTCAATGAAGGCGCTTGAACCACCTCCAGTGGCAGGCTGTTCCAGACCCTGGGGGCTCAAACAGTAAAGAAATTCTTCCTTATGTCCAGCCTGAAACGGTCTTGCCGTAGTTTGTAACCGTTCAACCTCATCATCCCTTGGGGCGCTCTGGTGAACAATCGTTCCCCCAGATCCTGGTGGTCACCCCGATAAACTTATAGGTGGCCACCAGATCACCCCTGAGCCTTCGCTTTTCCAGGCTGAAGATCCCCATAGCTCTCAGCCTGTCATCGTAAGATCTGTTTTCCTGACCTCTGATCATGTGTGAGGCTCTTCTCTGGAGTCTCTCAAGCTTCTCCACATCCTTTTTGAATTGTGGGGCCCATAACTGGATGCAGTACTCCAGCTGCGGCCTCACCAAGGCTGAGTACAATGGGAGAATGACATCCCAGGATTTGCTTGAGAAGTATCTATGGATGCAATACTAGCTGCAGCATCACGCTAAAGGCTCATGTTCATCTTGTGGTCAATGATGACCCCCAAGTCTCTTTCTTCCGTAGTGCTAGCCAGCATAGCACTGCCAAGCCTATAAGGATGGAGAACTCTGCATTTTTCAGTGTTAAACACCATCAGGTTTTCATCTGCCCATTTGCTGAGTCTGTCCAGGTCAGCCTGGATCACCCTTCTGTCTTCAGATGTGGATGCTTTGCCCCAAAGTTTGGTGTCATCGGTGAACTTGGCCAGTCCGCTTCTGACTCCAATGTCCACATCATTGATGAAGATGTTGAAAAGGATAGGCCCAAGGACAGAGCCTTGAGGGAGCCCACTGGTCACAGGGCACCACAACGATTGACTTCCATCACTTACCACCCTCTGGGTCCGACCACGGAGCCAATTTCCCAGCCAGTGGATCGTGGTGGACCTAAGGCCATGATTGGTCAGTTTCACCAAGAGGTGATCATGGGATACCAGATCATTATGATCCTATGATTATGTATTTGTATAGGATCATTTGGACAGGGCTGATACTGCCTCGGGCAGGGTGTTAGACTAGATGTGACTACTGGAGGTCCCTTCTAGCCTTACTTCTCCATGATTCTATGACACACATCCCAAGAGGGCTGATTCTGGGGAAAAAAGTATCTGTGTGAGTATATGTGAACAAATACAGTATAAGTGAGGGAATTGCAGAGACAGGGCCTGAGACTGTCTTATTTGTTCTCAACAGCTCATGATGGTCCACAGAAAGCTCATTATTTTGAATTACGGACCTTGCATTGTCAGCTTCTAGCACTGTTTGGTTGATGAGGGATGTTTCCACTATTGCAGCTACTCCAAATAGGAAACCAATTTAAGATAGTGGCACTGAGGTAGTCAGAGCTGCACTAGTAATAGCAGAAGTCATCATTATAATGCCATAATACACAAGGTGTGTTTATGACTCATGCTGTTGTTGTCATTATTATTATTATTATTATTGTTATTATTATTATTAATAGGGTCAAACAGGGTCAAAGATTTCTGGTTGGCTTCAACTGCGGTTGTTCATTGAGGTCAGCAAGGTGAGAGCTCCATTGTCCATCACTCCATTGGGTTCTGCACAGCCACATTGATATGTTGTTGACAGCCAGCCATCAATTGGAGGGTGAGTTCTACCATGGCTCATTGACAGGTCTTGAGATGACCGAAGACACCAATCCTTGAGTCAGAGATCCATCTGCAGGCATTGCAGGTCTTTCTGCAGGGGAGAGGATGGGAGGATGATGAACAACCTCATTAATCAGGGACTGAAACACCTGAGGGGTGGCTGATTGTTTGGTTGTCCTACCCGGATGTGCTGGAAGTGAGCATCCATGCCAACATCCAACTCAGCTGCCAAAATCCAACCATGCCAACATCCACCCAGTTGCCTCTACAGCTCCACGTTGCTGACCCATAGGGTAGATTTGACGGGGGCACTAATAGTTTCTTTTGGCCAAAATTAGTTCTGCAATGGAGACTAGGTTCTAAGAGGTGTTGGATCTGTTACATCAGCAGATGGGAATCTCAGCAGAGGATGCCTGAGGGACCCATCCCAGAACATTTTCATCCCTCTCCTCAGAAGCTGACAACATGACTTGAGAGAAACTTTGATAGAACTGGTGACATGAAGATGCCATTAGGTCATTCATGGAAATCATTCAAGGGGAAGTCTGGCTGGAAGGGCCCTCCAAAAGTCATACAGTCAAAGCCATAGAGTTATGGTCTTAGAGTCATGGAGATGTCAGGTTGGAAGAGACCTCCAGAGATCATAGAGTCATAACCATAGAGTCATGGTCATAGAGTCATAGAGAATTTGGGTTGGAAGGAACGTCCAGAGATCATACAGTCATAGCATAGAGTCATGGTCATAGAGTCATGGAGAAGCCAGGCTGGAAGAGACCTCCAGAGGTCACATTTAGTCCAGCTCCGTGTTGAGGGCAGGATCAGATCTCACTCAACCAGCCCAGTCATGAGTCTCTCCAACCTGCTCTTGAACATTTTCAGGGATGGAAATTCCGCAACTTCTCTAGACAGCCTCTTTCAATGCTCTTGACAACCTCCAAGGATGAAGATTCCCCCACCTCTGCTCCTATGCTTGATCACTTTCAGAGTCAAAACGTTCCTCCTCATCTCCAGCCTCAGTTTCCCACCCTGCAGCTTGAGACCATTGCTCCTAATCCTGTCCCTGATGGCCACAGAGAAAAGCCCATCTCCACCCACCATCCTTTGGGGATTTGAAGACTGCAATCAAATCCCATCGTCTTCAGTCTTCTACCAAGATCTTCTACAGAGACAGCCACAAACTGAGGAGTGGAGGACCAGAACATGAGAACTGAAGTCAGACAGGGAGCCATAGTGAAAGCCAGGTTTCCAGAGACCATGTGATCAAGACAGAGGTTGAGATCAATGCCAGGAAGTCAAAGACAACAATA